CTTTCATTTAGAATATCACTTTAGGAGGACACCCAAACACAAAACATAAAGATGAATAACAGTTCTCAATTTTACGGTAAATGGGCTTTTGCTTGCTTATTTAAGTAAATCTATACTTATGAGACGTAAGTAGAGTTAATCTAAGTTAAGCAAACTACGCTTTCTCATACACGTGCGCTAACGAGTAAGCCGAAGTAGTGGGCACGTAGTGCGCCCATTGCATCGTGTGTCTCCTAAAAAGAAGGTAAAATCTGTTGCCAGGTGCGTCAGGGAATGCTAGCTTCAAGTCTGGCTCCATGAACCGCAAGATGTAGCGTTGAGATCAGCATTCTAGTAGTACAAGAAAAAATATATACGTATATACTATACGTCATCACCATAAGAAAGCGAGGCAAAGCACAAGCCCTCAAGAAGCACACATTATGGTTTCTTGAGGGATTGTGGCGAATTGATGACTGTCTTATTACGATAATTATGCTCAATTACCCTATCCTTTGCCTTTGATCAAGCAACCTTCCCGGCCGAAATAAGAATAACAGGAAACTTCTCTCACAGTGAGCGTATTACAAGTAGTTTGCATGGCGACCTAGCACCAACCTGCTTTACTTCCCTTCATCACGGAAAGCTGACAAACAAGTTAAACAAGATATGTACACCATATCGCCTGCTTTCGGAAGGCAGCTACAACCCATGACTTTATCCTAAATCGTGGCAGCCCAAGTCAATCCATTGTAGCAAACACGAACTGTAGAGAATGAAGGTCTGTTTTAGTTCTACCAGTAGTGCGGTTAAGGTTTGTCGCGACATGACGCCGTGTTTCGTTCGGTTGTCACGCTGGGAAAGCTTAGTAGCACTTCTCCCTGCTGCACGTTCGTCGTTTAGCAATTAATCCTTTCGCGAGCCACTTTAGTGAACTATAGTATACAAATCTAGGTTTTCCGGTATCAAAAGGAGGCATTTTGCCTCCTTTAAGGCGAGTGATTGTCCACCTTCAAATCTTCCAAGTGTGATTTGCTTGGTTTTTCTATGCCCATAACGACCTGTTGTAAACGTACTTAATTATAAAAGGAGGCATTTTGCCTGCTTTAACATGGATACATCGTTGTACTTAGTTGAAAATCAGGAAAAGGGGTATTCCGCTTCTTTTTATCGCGAAAGGGTTAACCGCAAGGCGCGTGGCTGGAGACCTGTTGCTTACGAGAAGGATCCCTGCACGACACTGGTTTGGGCTAAGAGCACGCAGCCGTCAGTGGACACTGGCACCTGTCCACAACAGCATGAACGACCCATGGTGATGAGGAGAACAAGAGATCAAGATAGACATTAGTAGTTCAGGTATTATTTTTACTTTTGATAATAAAAAAATCCTTCACAGGAGCACCCCGGTTTCCACGACATCCTACCTTTGCGCTTTTCGAAGCAAGTTTGTTGATCCTAGACATTGCTGATCGTCTAGAGCATTCGGTGCTCGTCGCGACGGAAGACAAGTCAAGTACAAGTCATATTCTTATAAGTACGATTCGCAGTAAGTAGACCAACTTCAACATGTCGCGGAACACGCTACACTATGGACTCGGACGGAGATGTCCATCCCTCAACCAATTATCGAGGTCAGGAGTCCACCAGAGCTATCGATCTAGGACCATGCCGCGATAATTGACTGTCAAGAAAAGTGGGACCGTTGTGTGGCTAATCTCGCATCGCTGTTC